ACTAGTAAAAGTAAATTTATAATGTTTTTAACTATAGGATATGCACCTTGACAAAAATAAATGTTGATACATAGCTAATGCGTCTGCACTATTTAGTGATGACCTTGCTGCAGTTGAAGCAGCTCAGTTTGAACTAATGTTGCTCCGTGTTACAACCATACAGATCCACTAGTGCAATCGATGTTGCTAAGACTGCAAGGTCGGCACTAAACAGTGTAGAATCATTGGCGAATCGTTAAGTTTTGAGTTTGTACACAAGGACTAAATTGCATATTGCTTCCAAGCATTAAAGTGGAGGGTTTGTAACCCGCGCATGCGCGGGGATTGAATCCCAGGTGACGATAACAACGCACGCTAAAGACGGGTAGACGCTTGTTTGTAAACACCAACAAGCTATGCCCATCTGTTGCATGTGCAGGTGACAACTCCCCCGATTTAAATTGTCATATATTTATATTCTCAAATATTTTTTTTAATTTTATTATATTTTTTTCAGCTTGAAATAACTTAATGAATGAACATTTGGTAATCAGAGAACTTATTTCGAAATACATAGTCATCTGACAAGGGTAAAGAATGGGTCATCAGATACAGTCAGATCACATACTGTTGTACCTCTGAAGACCAGTGGTACAACATGCTACAGCACGTCAGGACAATAGTTTATAAGAAAGATGGTTTATTTTATACAAAAGATGTGTCCTCACTGACAAGTTGTGCAAAAGATTTTACACATTACGCAGGCAAGATATGTCATTTGATCATAATAATCCAAAAGATGTTTTAGCTGGATATCTCAAAGTAACTGTTCAAAAGGTGTTATAGCCATCACTGGAAATATGTCATCTCATGGTAGTACCTCTGCCATTGAAAATATGTCAATTCATTGTACTACTTCAAAAGATGACACACCAGCCACTGAAAATATGTCATCTCAGCATAGTACTTCAGATGATACCACACCTGCCATTGAAAATATGTCATCTCAGCATAGTACTTCAAAAGATGCCACATCTGCCATTGAAAGTATGTCAAATCAGCATAGTACTTCAAAAGATGCCACACCAGCCACTAAAAATGTGTCATCTCAGCATAGTACTTCAAAAGATGCCCCACCAGCCACTGAAAATATGTCATCACAGTTTAAGAGATCAAAAAACAAAAATAGTCCAGAAGATGTCACAGTTGTCACTGAAAATATGTCATCTCATTGTAATACTTTGGAAGATGTATCAGTTGTCAAGGAAAATATGTCATCTCAGGGTAATAGTCCAGAATATGTCACAGAAAATGTGTCATTTCTGTGTGATAGTCCAGAAGAAGTCACAGTTGGTGATAAATCATCTCAAAGAGGCAGTCCAAAACAGGATTGTAAAAACAGTGGTAATCTTACCGCTTCTGCAGGAGAAAGTACACCTCAAAAACAGCTATCTGGGAAAGCAAGAAAAAAAAGGACAAAAACAAGAAAACATGCCACTGAAAGAACATTTAAATGTGAACAGTGTGGTAAGTTATTTGCTCAGAGTTTCCACCGGAATGAGCATGCACGCATACATACAGAAGTGAAAACGTTTGGATGCAAGGTTTGTGGGAGAACATTTATGAGAAAGAAAGACATGGAGAGACATATACAGACTGTTCATATGAAGGAATATGTGCATCATTGTAGCGAGTGCGGTAAAGGGTTCTCAAAAACATCAAACTTGAAGATTCACGTGATGAGAAAACACACTGGAGAGATGCCTTACAAATGTAAGCAATGTGGCAAGGAATTCCCGCATACCAGCATGCTCAAAAACCATGAACTGACACATTCACAGCGAGGTGAATTGGAGCGCAAACACCTGTGTGAATATTGTGGAAAGCTGTTCACCCGTGAGTACCATGTTAAGCGACACATACAAATTCATACAAGGGAAAACGCAAGCATGTGTGAAATATGTGGAAGATCATTCACACAGAAATGTCACTTAGACTCTCACATGGGGATTCATGTGAGGGATGAAATGCTTAATGAGGGAAAACTGAATCAAGTCATGTGATCTGTAAATTGGTATCTGTGTGTACGTGTACAGGGGTACATGCCTGTTTCAAATTGGTTTGTAAGCTGCACTATTCTTTTGTGGATTGTACTATTGTTTTATTAGATTGAACTTTTGTTTTGTCAGTTGCGCTATTGTTTTCCAGGTTTCATTATTGTTTTTAGGCTAAAATACGACTGCAACAGATCATGTGTAATATTAACTATTTGTTTATGCAAACATACATGTACATACTATTTTGTTTACATTACTATCACTGCTGGGTAAAATATTTGCTTCTATAATATATACCAGATTGAACAAATGGGTCGCAAGTCATATAGCATGCTAGATAATGTTTATATTAGACACCATCATAAATAGATATTTCACTCATAAGAGCATTATATGTTAATCTTTAAATTGCTAAAAAAAATGGTCTTCATGGTCGCTTTTTCAAAATTTTACAGTCTATGTATAGCAATATAAAGTCTCAGGTATGAAGCCTAAAAAGGGGATAATGGAAACGTTTAAATGTCTTTGTGGGGTTCAACAAGGTTTTGTCGTGTCACCTCTTCTGTTTGCTTTGTTTATAAACAACCTTGGTGACTATTTGGAGCACAGACTTTCAGGTGTATATGTTGGTTTTGTTTGCTTTGTTTATAAACAACCTCGGTGACTATTTGGAGCACAGACTTTCAGGTGTATATGTTGGTTTACTTAAATTGTTTTACTTACTATTTGCTGATGATTTAATATTTTTTAGTTCGAATGCAGTTGGTTTACAAAGACTGCTGAACGGTTTATCAGAGTATTCAGGCAAATGGAAACTTAAAGTCAATATTAGTAATACAAAAATTGTGGTTTTTAAAAATGCCGGCAAATTAAGGCATTATGAAAAATCGCACTACAATAGAGAACAACTACCGGCTTTGTCTTATTTTTGTTATCTCTGGGTATTACTTTTTTGAATAATAGTCGCTTTACGGCAGTGAAGTTTGGGGTTTTGACAAAGGGGTAAATATTGAGGAAACACATCGCAAGTTTGTAAATTTATTATAAATTTGCTTACACCACAGCAAATTCTGTAATTTATGGAGAACTAGTAGACTACTCTAATCCATTTGAGTTACATACGTATTGTTAAATTTTGGTTGAAAA